AGTCACAAGCAACAGTCTTAAAATTTATAAAATATTTTCAACCAAGAATGCTTATGTGGTCTATTAAAGCAATACCTTTGTAGCTAGAAGCCATACTAAATGTGGTGTCTCAGACACTTCAGTTATGAAGTCTTATGGTGCAGACATGAAAGTGCACATCTGATTGTGTTAAACAATACAAATATGACAAGTCATGCAATTTACTTTTACAGAGATCAGTCTACATTACATTACACAACAGTCTACATTACATTACAGGGATTTAATGTATTTTCTCGGAAATTCTGACAAGTTCATGACAGTATTCATAAAGATCTAATAATATTAATTAAAAGAATTTACTATTTATTTTTATTCTATTTTTTTTATTTAGTCTTCATAAAACTTAGTAACTGGACAATACAAAAATAAAAAAACCCTTCTCATTACATTCCCAATGGAAAATATGTTTTGCGATAATGTTCTATTTTCAGGTGCTTTTGTTTTTATAGAATCTATACAACATAATGTCTTACTGAACTTTTTTTTCTTCAATAGGAATACATTCCCATGCTCTTAATTATGAATAAAATTTAATCAAAGATACACTCAAAGGTATGATAGGTTCAAAGGGACAAACTTTGTACAATGGTAGTCCATAATAGAAATGCAGTCGCACATCTTTGAAACTGTGGATTCTGTACATCATTAATGAAATAGAACACAAATGTGAAATTATGCAACTATTTTTTGTAAGTGTCAAACCAAATTAGTGTATGGCTATTTTACATAGACATTTTAACTACTCAGTGGAAGAAATTTTAATAAAACAAGAGCTTTGTTTTATATCTTAAAACAAAAATTATATCCTCTATAAAACTCTGTTAGGTATTCTTTCATATTCAATCAACACCGATATGTCAATTAATTTTTATTATAGGAAGTTTACTTAACAAACAGTTTTTTAAACTACTATTTAACAGTTTTCTGTTATCCCACATGGACATTAGAACTGGGGGACATGCAACAATAATAGGAGGCCCATATTATATTGACTTTTTCTATTCAGTTGGCTGACTTTGCCAGCCAAAGTGAAAGGGGACTACAATTCTTTGGTAAATTCTAAATATAACATTTTATATATCTCCTTATATAACTTGTTTACAGGTTATTACTTGAAACATTTTTATTATGTGTATGACTGGCGATTTTTTTAGTACAAATCAAATAATTTGTATTTTGTACATTTTTGTGTGTACAGTACAGTATTTGTTAATGTGTGAAATTGTTGATATAATATTCTAAAGCATTTTATATTGATTATCAAACAATTCTTATTCAACCTTAACCCCTCTGGGGCCATTTTGAATCTGAACATATAAGATGCCAAGAACAGTTTCATTCTGTCCCTTGAGATTGACAAGCTTAGCTTGTCAAAACTAGTCCACTTTTTGTACATTTTTTATGTTTTATTAATTCTTTAATGACTCATGCATTATTACTGTTTTTATGAATTTGCACAAAATACCTTTTTAAATATTGATTTCTTAACTTCCTTATAATAAAGGCAGCTGAAAGGTTAGCTATTGATGCATACATTTTAATACATGCCATACAGTTCTCAGTTGGTTCATGCTCTGGACAGTAAAGAAATTGATTTTTTTTTACTTCACACTTTGCTGAGCCAGCTTACAAATTCCTAATTTTTGAATTTAACCTAAAAATCACATGTAATAATACATATATACACACACACATGGAATTAGGGAGGGCCATAGATGCTAAGTTTGTTACGTGTGTATATATATATATGATGCACTTTTTTACACACACAAATATATTTATGTGATGAAATGTGCAGAAGAAAAAAGCCTTTGCCAACAGATAAGCTATGCATGACATCCATCAATAGATGTCCCATACGCACTTATAATAGTAGTGGACACTTTGAATGTTCATAACATGCTTAATCATAAGACAGGTTTATTGTGTTACTTATAGTTTTATTTTCCTTTAATTATGAGTTTGTTCTGGCCCACTCTATACATAAGGGATAAACGTAACTTACGTGTGATTTGTAATTACTCAATCTCTAAAAATAAATTATAAAAAATCATTCACTGGCCTATTTACACAATCTAAGTTTTATTTCATTCTCCAACAAATGTAATTTAGTAACATAATTGCTTAACACAGCTTAGAACCTATGCTTTACTTTCTTTTCAATCCATTCTGATATATCTTTTATTCAAAGTACTTTTAAGTCCAATAGCTATCCTCAAAACTTACTAGAAAGTCACTCAGAAGTTCCTAATCAAAAAGTTTGTTAATAATACCAAAGCATCCATTGCATTTAAATGCTTTATCTATCTTAATAAACACAACCTTATTACCTGACACACTCATATAAACTTCACTCAAGTTTGTCTGAAAATAACTTTCAAATACCCTTCTAGAGAATGTACAGCATCCTATGTTGACAATACTAAGCATCATTTCAGAGTAAAAGCTTATGAACATAAGGAATGCTCGATAAAAATCAGTAGTGGTAAACAATCCTTGTTCCTCCTCAATACGTCAACATATCAAACTACAAGACAGGCACTCTCTCTCTTTCTCAAACTTCACAATCTTAACAACAACCAAATCACAAACAGAATTCTTTCTAAAGAATACATTGTGTTTAACAACACCAACCTTCACTGAAAAGCAGCCAGTCTTTCTTCTAGTTTGTATATATTTTAATGTGGTAATTGTCTAGACTTTTGCATTACATACTGATGTTACATGTGCTATAAAATGCATTTTTTTATTCTTTTTAATAGTTACTTTAATCTGCTTTCAATTAATGAAAATTTTATTAGTTTAGTTAGTTCTCTGTTTTTAGTCCCTTCAGTATTGTTGCTTAGCATATATTAATAGTTCATGCTCATCTCCTTGTTGTTATTTCTCACAATTAGAACATTCTTTTGTTGTATACTCTTAGTTAAATTAAAGAACTATTAGTTTATACCTGAAGATGATCTGTTTTACATTGTCATTTATACATAAAACCAAAGTGTATACAGTCAGTAGTGTCACAATCAATCAAGTTATTGTATAAAAAGCAGATTTAAAAGAATTATTTAATTATATTTTCAGTTTTGTGCCCATCAATACTAATTTTGAGTTTCTATATAGATCCAGACAATATCATTTAGTATGCATTTCCTGATGTTAAGCCTAACCTTACCACTAAAGTTTTGTAAACCTTTCTTATAAACCTTAAATACATTAAGATATAATTGTATAGCAATGAATTTTCAATTTTAGTTAGAATAATTTTGTATTATCATTCTGATTTCTTCTCCTTCAATTAAAATCTTAAATGAATATGCTACAAAAAGCAACTGTCACAACAATGTTTTTAATGGTGAACTAATTTGTTGCATCTTTTAAAAAAGTAACTGATTTACCACAAGTGACAGGTAGTGATGGTGAAGTGAGTATAATAGATACAGACAATAACACAAAGGATAAATTATATGGCTAAAAAAAGGGGGATTGAAAAATTATGCACAATTAAACTCCAATCACACTCTCATGTGTTGATTAAATGAACCTTTCGTATGTTTTATGACATTACAAAAACCTACTGGATGAAATAGTTTGATTTTTGAGAAGAATTTTCAACAGATTACACAGATTCTCCAAAAAAAAAATATACCTTATTTCTATATGCGTGATGTTTGTATGAAGTGGAAAAGACTTCATTGTAATATGGTTGTTTAAAGAAAGAATTAAAAACGCTTACTTTTGTTGTAGATTTTAATTAATATAATCCTGTAAAAATTCCTTTAAAAACTTTTTATTTTATAAAACTGCAAATTTTATGTTTGTTTGGACTTGAAAAATACTGCATGCAGATTCATTGTTTTTACAGTTACTACCATACTAAAATTATGAGCAAGCCAACCTTTTTTTAATTGTCATCCAAAGGTTTCATTTAATATATATGTGTGTGTCTGTCTGTCTGTGTGCGTGTAATAAATTTTTAATTCATATTATATATTTATTTATATTTCTTTTCAGTGATTTTATGTGGCCATTGAAGCAGATACTTAGCCCCATAAGGTCTAATGGTAACATGTCTTAATATAACAGCCTTGTTACGAAGCAAAACTTGATATATATAGTCCAGTGCAAAATGAGTTAACAAAGCCTAACTCATCTTGTTCTATGAAAAACATTTCTTTTCCTATCATACTGCAACATTATAATTTAAGTGAAATATAAAATGGTTAAGCTTTAAAAAATCAGAACTGTAAATATGGCAGAAGGTTGAGAAACTGTGACTGGTTAAAATGGACCAAACTACACTCTTATATTATATTTAAGTTACAAAGGTCAAATTAATACTATTTTGTTCACACTATTAAGACTTCCCTCCAACAGAGATACAAGTGCTGTATAAAGTTCAGGAAATTCAGAAACACTAATGTTTTTGTTTAGAACATATTGAAGTCAACCAAAAATCAAAATTAACTATTTTTTAATTTTATAAATAAAATTAAACAATTAACATTTTTATTGAATAATTTTCAACTATGAAGTAGTTTTTTATATAATGTGTGTGGAAGAATGACTACAAGTTTATTTTATATAAATTTTCTTTTTAATTCAACAGTACAATTTTGACCTCAAGGCAGGATGCACCCATCCTAGTGTGATAGTTATATCTGTATTATTTTTGGCCCAACTGTTTCTCCTTAGATATTGGTAACAACAATAAATACACCAGAAAGTTCAAGTGTAGAGGCTACATAGTAACTAACAAAATCAAAAATCAATTACAATACATTCTCATTTCTGTGTTCACATTACCACCCATTCCAAATAATATATCACACATTTCACTATACTAGTGCCTTTAATACATTCTTATTTAACAAACTCTCTTTGCTATAACTTATATTTTGTTACATAGCTGTTTCCATTTGTACTTTCAAATTACAGATACATCTGTATAATATTTTCATATTTTACAAATATATATATATTTATTATTATTATAGGATTTTTAGAATGTTGAACAATTTTGTTTTCAATATTCAATTAAAGTTACATAAGAACTATCTACACTATTTTCCCCTAATTTTGAAACGATAGACTAAAGGGAAGGCAGCTAGCTACCAATCCCAACTTTTGGGCTACTTTAATTGAATGGTGGGATTTGCTGTAACTCTTTTAATGTACTCACAGCTTCAGGAGAAGAGTAAAATTTTATGGAGGCAAATCATGGACCTTTGATTCACAGTCCAGCATGCTAACCACTAAGCCAGACCCAGCCCATCCTGAACATTAAAAATGGTCCTTCTAACAGAATATCCTATATAAGTTCTATAATGGCTCAGCTTCTTTTTATTTTTACAAATGGCTTTAAAATTATTTAAAGTATTGGCATTTAAAACATACAAATACCGAACCAATATTACACTGTAAAGGGAGGTAATTAAAACACTACGAAACAGCCTTCATAAGTCAAACTATACAAAGAATGATGGGATAACTTTCTTAAATCACACTACACTACACAACTTTAAAGAATTATTTGAGTGTTTAAGAATATTATTTACATTTCTTATCAAAACTATTAACCTCCTTGTCTACTATACAAATCATTGAGAGCTTCACAAGAAGGTGTCCCAAGCCTTTTCGCTTTCTCTTCAAGGTCTCGGTCACGGAAACTGCGTGCTCGCCATATCATGCTCTCCTCTATAAAATTGAAAAAGAAAAGAAAGCATTCAAACTCATTTTTTTCATTACAAAAAGTTTCTAGTTTGTCAAACAACTGTCCTGAGATGTAAAAGAATCATAAAATATCCATAATATGATTCACTGGTTTGTTAAGTTGAAAATTTTCATTTTAATTGATGTTCCTTAACATACAAAGCTTCTAATAAGGTGCACTGAGAGTACAATATCAGCTCAATGACATTCTTAAACTTCTCTCAACTTAGATATTTGTGAGTAAGTTATGTGCAAGCATCAAAACACTAAGTTACATAATGGTGTTTTTACCATGAACACAAGTTTCAAACTACTGATAAAATTTAAAGAAACAAAGTAACATAAGTTTATTATACCTTCTTTAGAAACAAAATACAACTTTGTATGATATAACATTATTCAAAAATCAAGCATTTAAGTGTTAATGTGTGTATTAAATATATAATTGAAACAGGTACAATGAAATAAAAGTAAATTTTACATAATTTCATTTAACATATGAAAAAAAAAAACTTTCATTTATACAAATGAAACAACTTAAGATTGATTTCTACTATACTTATAATTTTATTGATCAATT